GAGTGTATCCAAAAAACAAAGACCTTACTCTAATGCTGAAGATGAGACAGCTAGGGAGCATGCACGCTGTGGAGGCTTGGTATCCTAAACCTATCCTCTACTGCTGCATGCAATTATCTTCACTGCTCTATTATCTAGGAAAAATCAACCTGAGTTGAGGAACTATGTGAAGGTGAAGCCAGGTTTGGTGGGTTAGATTTGTCTCATGGCTGTACACCCACCTGAACTCTCCCTCTTCTCCTTGGGGTGGGAAGAGAAATCAAGATGGAACAGCTGGTGGGAGATGGCCTACTGGCTAGTGATAAGGGAAAAAGAGTTTGGGAAAACTGATTTCATGTTTTCTGAGTAACCCTGAACACTGCTATGCTTTTCTCCGATTTTGAATTAATAGAAATTGGATATATGCTCTTAGTGATTTGATGAAACCTAAATAAATTCACACGGTGAGGAGAGACAGAGAGCTTTTTGTGGTTCCACAGGGATTTCCCTCAATCACATTTATTTACAGCAACAGATTCCACAGTGCTTTTCCCAAATTGTAGAGAGGGTAATATCGCACAGCTTTGCTGCCTCACCATAGAAACAGTTTATTAGCTTATTTTTCTTGAAATATATTGTTCTTTCGCGATCTCTTGTTTATTATATCCATACTGATAATCAGTACTAGCTTCTGAAAATATATCTATCACACAGCCCTGCTTGTGACTAAGGCCTCTCTATGGAAGCCTTTGGTGTGTTACTTTTCTGTTTCTCTCTGTATTTAACTTCTGTGCACATTAACACAAAGAGCTTGAGACAAAGTTAGCGTAATGCAATCTAAATGTTATTTTGCCATGCTGGCACCACAGAAAGAAGGGAGAACAGGATTGCTCTGGGAAAGTCTTGCAGCTGTAACTTCTCCATGTAATACTGAGTGTTTTTCTGTGACAAGAGAGAAATTAAATTTTCCACTGAGGAGGCCCAAGCCCAGGTGTAACATTTACTCTTTTGTAATTTCCTTGTTTGTATTTTCAGTCTGGATCTAAAGCAGAATAAATCCTACTTCCTGCTGGATATGCCTACTGAAGCACGTGAGAAAAAATCCTGTGTTAAAGGGTTTTGAGCCGGTTAAGTGACACCAGTACCTCGGCTCCAAGACCTTTTCTGATATTAGAAGGCTACTCCTATAAACAAATGCAGTCATGACCTAATCTAGTGACCGGCAGCTGACATCACGTTTGTGTTGGTTGCTCTGAAAGTAATGCCTCATATTTATTTCCATGGAAAATAGAGCAGATAAAACCAGCTCAAGGACACTATTTGAGAGAGAATTCTCAACTACAAAGTACTGTTTTTCAACAGTCACTACCAGTATCCACACATTTTCATCAGTGATGAACAAAAGCCTGCATGCTGCACTAGTATCTATCTGCGCTAGCGGAGCTGACCCTGAGTCGCCACTGCTGAAACACACCACCAACATCCTCTGTGTGTTCACATCCCATGTTTGGTCTCCATAAACGTTTAGCAAGCTTTGACGACTGTGAACAAATTCCATTTTTTCCACACAGAGGAATTCAGTGGCATGCCTTTGCTTCACATGTACTTCCATGTCAGATGCCATTCTGTCAGTCTGTCCCTCTACTGCCATCTGTCTCGTGGCAACAAAATGGAGTGGAATATTGGTGGGAAGATTCAGCTTCTACTACCACACCACCAGTGTTCCCATCTAATGTTTGGGTCAACATAATGAAATAGGAGGCATTACTTTTGGAACAGCCCTCCTAGAATGTACATAGGGTAATATATGCAAAATAGAAAATGTTTTGATAGTAGATTTGCTCTTTTGGTATCCTATTATTTATTTATTTTATCTACAGTTACAATAGCTTTATTTGTAGGGCTTCTCATTAATTGGCGTGCATATTTTAACAATGTGTTTGAGTACTCTCATTTCTCCTTTACCCCTGGCAGCTGAAGAGCGGGGAAAAAAGCATTCTTTGTTGCTTTAAATGCATTAGAGTCAAAGAGCAAAACATAAAAGCTGTTTCACTGGGTAAAATAAATTTTGATCTGTATAGATCCAGCAGCAATAAATTTTTTAAAAAAATTATAAAGAGAAATACCTTGGTATTTGATGAAGACATGAAACGTGGCAGACTATGAACTATGTTTATAAGCTTTTTCTCAATTTGAAACTAGTGGGAATTATGTAAATGACTGCTTTTCGCAATCCGATCCAAACAGTTTGTAAAAATCCCAAGAAACTGTACTTGTTTTTCTCCTTTCCCCCACGTGACTTGAGGGTAGCTTTGCTGAGGTGAAGAGCTGAGATATTTGGAGTTGTATATGGAGGAGTGAATTTGTCTTGAAAAATCATAAAATTTACAATTTGAAGGCCAATGCAATTCTATTTGTTTCTGTAGTTCCCATCTTCAGCTTAAGTAAGTGCCTCACAAGCTATAAGGAGATTATTGCTTAGACTTGTCTTGTTATCGTCAGAAAAAAATTGGATTTTAAATCATAAGCAGGAAGTACATAGGAAGTATGTTCACATGTATTCACCTCTTTAGGTCTCATGGTTCATGCAGAGTCCTTGGTACTGACTGCTTTTGTCAAGTTATTCCTTTTTGCTATCTAACACCATAAATCGTAAGAAGAAGAAACATCTGTAAAATTAATTAAACAATGTACTGGGGAAAGAATATACTATATTACATTTACCATATTGCCATATTACATTTGAAAGTCTTCATGTGTTTTGTTTGTTTTTTGTCTGATTCTATTTGACAGTGGTACTTTAGGTGGCATCTCTCTGTAAGAGTACTCTTGGTGTACCTGTGGTGACATCTGCTGTGGAGTAAGAAGATATATAAGATTTTCCCAACCAATAAGAATAATACCCCAACACTTCTTTATACATCTTCTACCATTTTTCCTCTAAGATATTTATATGTATAATAAGAAATCCTTGGAAAGTAGAATTTAGAAACTGAATTGAGTAAGGAAGCAATCCTATAAAGAAGCAATTCCGTTGAGTACCTCCTCTGTGCTTTCCTTGCACATAGTTGTGTGAATAATGGGTATTTTCTACTGTGTCACTCTACATATTTTTTCATTTTGAGATCCTCAGCTTCAGTAATTGTGTTACATGTGCCCTCGATGACATTAGATGGTCTGAACTGTAGGTCATTGTACTCTACCTTTAAAATATTAATTTTCTTCTTGTTCTACAAGGTTTAAAAAACTGTTATAAAGCAAGGTTAACTGGGGTATTCTGATTTTTGACCGGTCACCCTATTTTTATAAAGTCTTTATTCTCCCCTTTTTGTGAATTGTCTTGGTCAGGTGCCACTTATTGCCATTAATCTTAGATAACATATGAGTTGGTATCTTCATATCACTTCACCTTGTGAAATTTACATTTCTGATGCTTTTATCTTCTGTCACGTGTTTCGTGCACCTTTAATCACACCTGACTAATGTTAAACAAAATTTCCTGTAAAATCATTCTTTTTTTCTGCATTTGAGATACTCAGTGAAGACTGACAGATTTTATGTTCAGAAGAGTGACTCTTCTACAAGCAGCACATGTCGATGTTATGTTGTCTTTTCTTTTGTGCAGTAACAGCAGCTCAAACTGATGTCTCAAATTGCCTTCATCCAAATGAACAGCTGATTCTTCAATCCTCATTCTGTGAGGAGAGTTTTGTTCTCGCATAAGAAAAGATGATTCACAAGGAGACCACAGAATCTCAGAATTGTAGGGGCTGGAAGGGACCTCCAGAGATCATTGAGTTCCAGCCCCCTGCGAAGCAGGACCCCTACAGCAGGCTGTACAGGTAGGCATCCAGATGGGCCTTGAATATCTCCAGAGGAAAATCCACAAACTTCCTAGGCAGCTTGTTCCAGTGCTCCATCTCACTCGCTCTGAAGAAGTTCCTTTGCATATTGGTGCAGAACTTCCTGTGCTCCAGTTTATGGCTGTTTCCCCTTGTCTTGTCCCCACAGACCGAGAGAAAAGATGTTGGCCATGTCTCCTTGACTTCCACACTGAAGATACTCATAAACATTAGTAAGATCACCTCTCAGACTTCTTTTCTCAAGGCTGAGCAGGCCCTGTACTGATACTCGCATTACTCTTCCCAGGTGCAAGCCTCTACACTTGCTGTTATTAAGCCTCATCTGGTTTCTTGTTGCCCAGCTCTCCAATCTGTGCAGGTCTCTCTAAATTGCAGCACAGCCTTCAGGTGTGTCAGCTACTCCTCCCAGCTTTGTATCATCAGCATACTTGCTGAGGGTGGGCACTATTCCCTCATCAAGGCTGTCAGTGAAGACAGTGAACGAGGCTGGACCCAGCACCAACCCCTGGAGAACACCGCTACTCACAGGTCTCCAACCAGACTCTGCATCACCAATCACAACCCTTTGGGATTTGGAGCTCAGCCACACAGCCAGTTCTCAACCCACCTCACAGTCCACTCACCTATCCCACGCTTTCTCAGCTTCAGTATCAGGATATCATGGGAGACGGTATCGAAAACCTTGCTGAAGTCAAGATAGATGACACCCACTGCTCTCCCCCTATCTATCCAGCTGGTGATGCCATCAGAGAAGGCTACGAGGTTTGTCAAGCACAACATAAGGTCAAAATATAAGGTCAAAACAATACAAAAATAACAAACCAGAAGGTTCCAGAAAAGCAATGTTGGCAAAATGTACTATCTGATTTCCAGTGGCTCTATGCTACCAGAAGCTTAGAGATAAATAGTTGTCTGTTCTCAATTCAATAGAGAAGAAAAAGCTCCTTCAACATCCCACACCAGGAAAGAAAGAAAGGAAAAGAAATCTGGAGCTGCTACAGTTTTTTGTAAAATTAGTTGTTCTCAATTCAGCTATTTATTGGAAATATTAAACTTGAATGTTTTCCTGTGTCTGGTGCAAAAATAAAGTTTAATGTCTAGAGAAAGGAGGGCATTCTAATTGTGTTAGAAGGAATTAGAATTAGTTCCTGCTTAATATTCATTTTACCTAATTAACTTCTTACTAACTGTCCTCACCAGAGCTGTTGGCATTAACCCCCTGAATGGGTCAGAAGAGATACGGATAAACTGAAGGCAAATGAGGAGAGCAGATTGCTCATGGTGTGCTGAATGCTTTGGTACGTCTTTGTGCTGTGAATGTACAAGGCTGACAAGCAGAAAGCATGTGAAAAAGAAACTGCCTGTGAGAATATAGTGTTGCTGGTGTAGTAATGGTGACTTGTAGTGGCGCATTGAGATACACTGAGGTGGTCATTAAAAAGACATCATAAACATAAAAGCCATCTGATTTTAAATTTCAGATGTTTTGTTGGTTTTTTTAACTCTATTGAGAAGAGATAAAGCAAAGCTTGTGTTTATTTGACTGCCTACTATAAGAAAGAAAGAAATTATATTTAGTGGAATGCTTTGTAATCTTGCTGTTTGATATTGATCAAAAAGCCTTAGAAACAACTGGTTTGGTGCTTTTATTTCCTTCTAGAGCATACCAAGCATCTCTCGAAATTGCTTGTAATCAGAAAGCACTGACCCATAACCTATGCAAATGTCATGAATAATAGGTTCCAGCTTAGTGAGTCTTGTACTAGAGACAAGCTGGAGTGATAATATATGAATTACTCATTCTTTCTTCTCCATTTTCTTGTTTGTAGATGTGGCAAGGTACTGCAGTTCTTTATGGCTCCAAAGCACTACATGCATCGTATGGACACAGATGTCCTGAGTGTTTCACCTCATTCACCAAACAGGTAAGTGTCCTTCACGAATTCTTGAAAATTTAAGTACTCATAGAGGGTTTTTAAAAATACTGTAAGTTTCTGCATACTGAGCCACCTAAGTAATACATTCTGATTTGCTCTCATGTAGAGGAACGTACTTTGCTAAGGTTAAGTGGGGTAACAGATAACTTTGGGAGAGGGAAAATATACCCTACAAGACTTTGGCATCACATGCATAACGTGATAATAACATGTGATTGAATCACGAATACCTACGTATTCATGGTAGGTGTTTGTAGGAATGTTGCACACTCTCTGGCTAGACTTTGGAGAGATCTCTAGCGAATACAGTTGAGGATGGAAAATGGAAACGACAGAGAGGGTTAAAAGGGGGCTGCCCATCCAAAAGTGACTAGATGCATTTTCCTCAAAAAAAAGAGTCCTGAGCTCTGACTGTATGTTTACCTAGTGACGTGGCATACAAAGGTCCAGTTGTTTGAAAAGAGGATCTTTTCATTGGAAGCAACTGGGACTTCTTTCCCCTCTTTTTCCCTCATGCAGCAGGAAGGTTACGCACAGTAGAAAACATCTTCTTCCAGAAGACCTTGAAAAACTGTTGGAATGATGACATGTCCTACAGAAGCTGTGCTGGTAATTCAAATGTTTTTGATATGTGATTCCTAATTTTAGAAGTTGTGCTTGATTTGCTTTGCTGCGGTGTTCCAGGTAGGACCTGCAGTTCATGAAATTGCATGAACTACGAATGTGAGTAAGGTGTGTTCATCAGAAAAGGTTCATTTACTGTTTCTTAGCAGAGCAGAGCTGGTCCAACATCTCACCAATCTGTCTGTTGTCTACCTTCCTTCAATTCCTTCAGTTCTTTCAGAAGTACTCTCTGGTTAAAGTGTGGTGCTCCAGAACAGTAGTCCATGTAAGATTCCACAGAGCAGGGATAATATCCAATTTCTTGTTTTCCTGAATATAACTTCTGTTAATGCTGGAGTGAAAGGCAACAAAAACGGTACATCTTTAGTAAATCTTATGATGTTACCATGAAACTGTGGCTGCTATGAACCAAGTTTTAAAGTGCCCTTCTCCTTTAAGGCAAAAGGGGAAAAGATACCCAACCTGTTTCTACTCCATTGCGACTGTTTTACAAACAATGCTTTGCTTTGAACACGTATTGTGAAAAAATTGAATAGTGTTAACAATTTGAATATTGTGAATATTCTGATAGAGTATGCTAATTAAAAGTCAATTTAGTTACGTGTTTAAGAGGAATCTGATCTCTATAAATCATTGTCCATAGACATTTCTACTTCTCACCCATCCCTGGTGGCATATTATTCAAGGAGTGCAAATGTGTTCTTTAAAGTACTGAGAAAAAGTGAAAAATATGTTTTCTCCCCTTTTCTATTACTGTCACCTTCATAGCAGTTTCCTGGTTGACCAACCCTGCTCTCTGACAGTCTCTGTCACGGAAACTGGAATGGAATTTCAGAGCTGATGCAGGCTGTGAGATGGTAATTGAGTGTGTGACTGAGCTTTTGGAATATGATGTATCAGGTCCGTAGTGCACTTGTGGACTCTCCAAGCCATGTCAGAAAAGAAGAGTTGCAAGCAAACTAGCAGCGCTGCACAAGGCAGAATGTTACATTTGGCTGCTAGTAGAGGTAGCTATGAAGTTCATTCTGGGGGTAGGAGAATTGTCTCAAACTCTTCCTTCTCTGTATTACACCCACAATTTACGTTGTGCAAGCTAACATATATACTAACAGATCACCTGCAGAAAGATAGTAATAACCATGCTACTGGAATTCAAGAAACAGAAAATAATTGTGAGTCTCATGTAACTGTACTTTCAGTCCCATTCATGAATGGGTTTGGTCCATGAAATGAATTAAACTAATGTATTCATATCACCCCCTAATTCTTTTGTAACATCTGACCCATGTAATTTTATATTTTAACTCTTGGTGAGTGTATGTTGGGATATATCTTGAACTAGCTCTCGTTGCTAATCAAACGCTTAAGGTCAGTGTCGTGGTTTTATGATTTTTGGTAATCAGTATTCTACATCACGTCTTCATGTAGTGCACTGGGAGGTAAAGAGTTAATTCTCCAGTTCTGGGTACCTGTCTCAGAAGAGAAGTTGAGTTTGCTGTTCTGTTCCTGTTTCCGTTCAGAGGGAAAAGATAAAACTTACACGTATCTGGAGACAGCCCTTCTTCTCTCTTCTGCTCAGCCCAACTACGTGTCTCCTCAACATTAGAGTAAGGCCTTCAGTTTTTGGACACACTCATTTTATTTGATTTATTAGCTTCAATTTTAATTATATTGTATTATATTGCATTATATTGTATTATAGTATGTTACCTTGCATTCCGATATCTTATTTAGTAGATTAGTTTGTTGCTCCTCAGATTGTTGCCCCTGCTTTGTTTTTAGGCCCATCTTTCTCCCCGTTTCCTTATTTCCCCCTTTTCTCTTTCCTGGGGCGTGGGTCCATGGGTTATCCTTCAGAAAAGCTTTTCTGTTTTTGAAATCCTTTTTGTGCTTTTGTGAGCTGTACTTTATGAACTGTCCTTTTTGAAATGCATCAAAAGAATAACACGTTATAATATTAATCTCTGAGAACAAACTTTTCTTTGCCTGCCCTGGCCCAATTCTCCACATTCAGGATGTTTAAAAGAATTACTGCCTAAGCAATACTGATGTTATAAGTACAATGTTATCCATTTGATCTGTGTAGCTGTCACAAGAACAACGATCACAGCAAATGTTCTGTTATTCAGCACTGGTAAAGGAGATGGAAATGCATCTATTTAGGTGAATCCTGAGAGACGAGTTATCTACAGAGGAACCTCTCTGATTTCCCCATTCTCTTCTCAAATGGAGATTCTTCTCTATAACAGAGCAGGTGGTAGGAGAATACTCTAGGTGGGTTCTTTCCCTCAGGTAGAGTCTGTCATTCCATGTCAATACATGGTTTCCCAAGGTAAAAAAAGGTTACAAATTGAGCATGTATTGAGTTCCTGCCCTTACTGCTGATGATTTTTATTACATGTGTGAAATCATTTCTTCTCAGTATACAAACAGTTGACAGTTTTAAAGCCGATATTCATGCCACAAAGTACTTATTTTTGAATATGTGAAACTATTTCAGGGAAAAATCTCTCAGGCACCATTTCTTCCACTGCTGATAGAGCCTCACGTTGCTTCAGTAGGTCCTGACAAACTTGCGATGTTTTTGGAGTGCAAGGAAAAGTGCAGGTACAGTAGCCAAAAAAAAAAAGTTCAAGCAGTAATACCACACCGTGGAGAGCAATACAGGCAGGCTAATGATAATGGAAGAGGAGAAGGCTGAGGTACTTCACAGCATTTTTGCCTCTGTCTTCATTGTCAGCTGCTCTTCACCGAGGCCCTGAGTGAAGTGGTTGGAAGGTGAGGACTGCATCCCTCAAGTTGTAAGCAAAGATCAGGTCTGCAGACACCTGCGGAACCTGATGGGTCCTGATGAAATGCATCCCAGAGCTCTGAGAGAACTGGTTTATATTGTTGCCAAGCCACTGTTGATGATTGAAAAGTCATGGCAGTCAGGTGAAGTCCGTGGTGGCTGGAAAAAGGGTGAGGTCACGCCCTTTTTTAAGAAGGGTAAAAAGGATGAATCGGGGAACTGCTGACCTGTCAGCCTCGCCTCTGTGCCTGAGGAGATTGTGGAACAGATCCTCCTGGAAGCTGTGCTAGGGCACATGGAAGAGAGGGAAGTGAAATGAGACAACTGGCACGGCTTCAGCAGGGGCGGATCCTGTCTGAACAACCTCCTGGCCTTTCTTTTTGTGATGGCATAAAATGGGGAAGAACCATTGATATCAACTATCTGGATTTCAGTGAGGCTTTTAACACTTTCTCCCACAACATCCTTCTCTCCAATGGCTGGACCCTTCAGTGAATGAGGAAAATGAGTCAATGTCTGGAAGCAGACCAGTGACGAGTGGTGTCCCTCAAGGGTCAGTAATGGGACTAATGCTCTTTAATGTCTTCATCAGTGACGCCAGCAGTGGGATCAAGTGTACTCTCAGCAAGTCTGTGGACAACACCATGCTGTCTGATGTGTTCAACATGTTTGAGAGACAGAACGAGGTCCAAGGAGACCTAGGCAAGCTCAGGCAGTGGGGGCCCTGTAGAATCTCAACAAATCCAATTTCCAGATCTTCTTGCACCTGGTTTCCCAGGGGATGAAAGAATTGAGCACAGCCCTTCCAAAAAGGACTTGGAAGTACTCCTTTATGGGAAGCTGGATGTGAGCCAGCAATGTGCCCTTACAGCCCAAAAAGCCGACCGTATGCTGAGCTGCATCAAAAGAAGCGTGGCCAGCGGGTCAAGGGAGGTAACCCTGCTCCTCTACTCTGCGCTGGGGAGGCCTCACCTGAAATACTGTGTCCAGATGTGGAGTCCTCAGTGCAGGAGAGACTGGAACTGTAGGAGCTCATCCAGAGCAGGGCCCCAGAAATGATCCAAGAGATGGAACAGCTCCCCTATGAGGACAGGTTGAAAGCTGGGGCTGTTCAGTTTGGAGAAGAGAAGGCCCAGGGACACCCAATAGCAGCCTTTCACTATCTGAAGGGAGGCTGTCAGAAAGCAGGGGACAGACTCTTTTCTTTAGCAGGGTCTGTTGTGATAGGAAGAGAGGAAATGGTTTCAAACCACAAAGGAATTCAACGATACACCTTTGCTTCATACACACTTCCATATCAGGTGCCATTTTGTCAGACTGCCCATCTGCTGTCATCTGTCACATGGCAACAAAAAGTAATGAAATATTGGTGGGAAGGTTCAGACTCTACTGTCATACCACCAACATCCACCTCTGACGTCGTGGGCCTACATAATACAGTAGGAGGTACTACTTCTGGAGCAGACCTTGTATATTACTATTATCTGGTTATATCACAATACGTTTGAAAGACTTTTAGCTGAGCCCAGTGTTATATTGGACACTGTCTATATATTTACATATTGGTGTATATATTTATGCATAGATTAATCTTTAGCTACTTTTCTCTCTGTAAGAAGATGCTGCCAAGGACTGTCTTTTCATTGTGAACTTTTGGCTTGTAGTAGCAACTGCAATCTGTTGTTATTGCACAGGCCATCCACAGACTCTGTATACAGGAAACACCATGGCCATTTTCTGCACAGGGAGCTAAAAATGCCAAATGCAGTGAAAAGGAGGATTGAATTTTTTTTTTATTTTTTATTTTTTTTTACATACTGTAGTGAATTACTTATTGCACAGAGCAAGTCTTTGTATTGATGAGAACTATGTAAATATTCAGAGCGATTCATTATCACTTTGTTAAGCATTTCCATCCACTCATGTTACGAACGAAAGATAGAATGGAAGAAGTAGAGGTACTGCTTTGCACTGAGCTTACCTGACACTTCTGCTGTGACACGGTGCCTGTCATACTTTGAATACGTTTTCCAGCTGCTTCATACTTTTGTCTCTTTACACCCAAGGAGAGAGGAAATCGCCCTGTCAGACTTACCAGCTGTTCTGGTGTTATCTGGACTGGTTATAATACTCAGGAGGGAATATTGTTCTTTCATGAATTATGAAACTCTCATACAGTTCACGGTTCTGTTGTGAGGTTGTATGAAATCTGCCAGGTGATTGTTCTGTTCTTGACCTGGAGATAGGGTTATCTTTCAAAGAACTGTCATTAACTAAATGTGTCTAGATTTCAGTAAATCAACCCACAGAGCCTTATCATTGGGATCATCCTTACAAATGTGTCATGATCTCTCACCATCCGTAAACTTCCGTACTCTGAAATCACACTTTCCTACGGATGATCTCAGAGCAGGTTTCCTTTTATTACGCTTTGAAGGTGAATTTTTCATTCTGTGCACACGTGAATTTCTACCTGCACAGAGGAGCGTGTGAATAGCAAAGCCCTAGGAAGAATTAAATAACATTTATCCTGTGCTTCCAATTGATTCGCTTCCAATGTGCCCATTAACCTATGAGACTTTTTAAAACTTCATATGAATGTAAAGATTCCTTATGGATGTGAGGCATAGTGTAACATTTACATTCAAACGAATGGCTGAGGATAAGAAAAAAGAAAGAA